TTTTAACAGACAGTGCAGATTGGGTGCAGCATTCTTTCACTGAGCTATCCAGCTTTGCATTAGCTTTAACAAAACATAAAATCACAAATACTTATAGCTACATTAGAGGCTTCAGTATTAGATTATTAGATTGCAATACAAGGCATTTTAATTGGTCTTGGTATTAATTGTGGTAAGTTTTTTTTTTCTTAAAGTATTTCAAAAAGCACAAGAAATGGAAATATTTCTCAACATCTTTACATCTTCATTGTACTGGGGAGGCAGAGGTGGTTAAAGTTAAAGTTAAGTAACAGTAAAAAAAAAGAAGACAATTGAGGTTACAGATGTGCATACTTTCTATCTGTGCAAAAATGAACAGTTTCAAGGAAATCCATAAAATTAAGACATACTGAGTCCGATTATTTTCTCTATGTTTATCAGAAAACATCTTTTATTTAAATGATAAATTGAATGGAGGTTTGAAAACCAAAAATAAAAAAAGTTATTTTCTTTTTTCAAAATAAAGATAACATATCAGACATGAGAAGCAATCAGTTTTGTTATTAGCTCCGATATAAGACTCAGCTATCAGAATTATTTGGAGAGCAGTTGTTTCATGTGCTGTATATTTAGCTTCATCAGCATAGGCGACATTTATGCTTAGCAACAAATAAATGGCATAAAGCTAGTATCCAGATTAAAAAAATGCATCTCTCTAGGAAATACAATTCTACACATAGTTATTAAAAATACTTTTTATAGCATTATAGTGAGAGTCTAAAGGATTTGCCGTTGTAATAGTTCCACCAGCTTTATGGCTGTCCTGTTTACACCGAGTCAGAGTACCCCCGACTGAAAAAGAGAAACCTAAAGATTTCATGGTGGTTAACTATTTAGCCCCATTTGGCTTTTTAGTGTTAACTGCTTTCTCATGGGGTTTTCTCATCACTATTCTAGTGCAAAGCCAGGGCAATGCCTGTGTTTAGCAGATCAGTCAGTCTATGGTTGAGTGTTTTGTGTTTTTCTGTCTATTGATGATGCCGTCTAAGTTCACAGGGGCCTGTGAACTGAGACGATCTTCCTCCCTCAGTGGTTAGAGCTGTCCTCTGGGAAATTCAGGACTCAACCTATTATTCAAAAAGGGTTGGAATAAGATGAAAAGACTTTTAATAATGTTAATGTTGGATGATTAAAGCCATGCTGCACTAAAAAATAAAAGTATTATTACTTAGTATTAGTAATATTATAAGTGGCTTTGAACAGATTGGTGTTCTAACGTCTAATTTTGTTTTAGTAGAATATTCCTTGCTGCCGAGTATTTTTCTTTTTTGTTTTTTTGATAGATAGGAGTACAAAGGGAACTCCAAATGTTTTTTTTAATTCGGTGGTGGGATCAGTCTTTTCTCTTATGACATGGGATTCTACAGAATCAACTTAGTGCTGCAGAGATAAGGTGGTTGAATAAGCTTATTAAGAGGGCCTGCAATGTCCTTGGATATCTACTGGGCATAATTTAAGATTTTTTTTTTTTGCCATTACACTGTCACAAGTACAGAGCAACAAAACTATCTCTCTGCATTTAACACATCCCCCCGGGGAGCAGGGTGGGGTTAAGGGTCTTGCTCAGGGACCCAGAGTGGCAGTCTGTGGGAGAGGGGCTTGAACTCAAAACTCTGCATTCCATGTGCATTACCCTAACCACTGGGTCAATACTGCCCCAATGCAAACGGAGGTAGACATTAGCTAGGATTTTAAGTCTAAAAAAATTACATTATTGTAGGAAAATGTCTCCCACCCATGCATGAAGCACTGGCAGAGCTGGAAATCTCATTCAATGTAACACTATTTCATCCTGGATGCACAAAAGAGTGCTTCACCAGATTGCTCCTACCAGCTGCTGTCAAACAGCAAACTCAATAAATGTGCTGTTATTAGTTGCTGCTCAGGTGCTTTATCTCATTAAGAACAGTTTTTTTTTATCTCATTACTTGTGCTGTTTTTATCTTCCCAATGAGTCTTTATATGCTTTTTAGATATTGTCCTCTTGTTTTTATAGCTTTCCTTGTTAAATTATCCTTTAAGCATGCTATTGTTTATAATGAGTTTTCTTATGGTACACTCAGACCGAACGCAATGTCCGCAGTGATTTAGACAAGCCGCATAGGTAGTTCACTGCTCTGCATTTCAGATCCACAGTGTTTAAACCCTGGACCGAGTCATCAAACAGGAGAAGCTTTAGCTGCGTTAAGCTGACACCCTATCGACGTGAAAAAAAACTCTGCGCATATAGTGTGTGTGTTTTGTTTTTTTTTTGCTGGATGGGATGGGGGTTTAACAGGTGGACCTAAATGCAGACTGAAACTGAAGGAGGTTAATTGAAGATTTATTATCCAAAAAGTTAAATAGAAGTAAAAATCCAAAAACAGAAATCCACAGAAACTGGGAACCAGGAATACTCACAACAAGGGGGCAAAGAAATTACAACAAACCAGCAGAGAGTGACTGAACAGTAGGAAAATATATGAGGAGAGAGAAGAAACTATGACCAGGCTAATTAGCAGATTGGGAGCAGGTGTGAAGAGAGGGAAGAAGGGAGCTAGGAAAATGGAGACTGACACAAGAGGGCAAACAAGAAATACCTACTAGAACTCAAATACAATCAAAAATAACTACAACACAAAATGAAAATAAGACCAATGAAAACTCAGAGATAAAACTTGAACAGAACCAAAACCATGACATCATTAGTACAGGTTTGTGCACTTAAAGTTGTCATTTGTAAAAATGAAAAACAATATAAATACATTTTTCAAATTTATTTATGTGTGCTTTTTGTGGTACTGTTGTTTCAGAGATATTAAACATTATTTTGTAGGTCAGCAAAAGATCAACTATCCCCCTATTAAGCTCCAAATTGAATCAAATTATCTAGCTTACTTTTTCAGTGCTACTTTATTTGTGCAGGTAAAACTCACTTATGTTGATCTGGTTTTGAAGACAGCTGATGACGTCACCATCCCAGCAGAAGTTAGTACTTTGCTTGTTTCCTGATATAAACTTATTGCATAACATCACATGTCATTGCTGTGCTGGCAATGAATATATCAGTGGTCATGTTCACCTTATTTAGAGTCTGGAATGATTGTTTAATATTTAGTAAATAACCTGCCTCCCACACCTTTCAATTTGGACCTGACGTTACCCCTGACAACCCCGTAGTATTTCCTTTCAAGGCCTCGTTGTCGGCATTTTACAATAAAACCACAGGTCAAACTTAATCAATTAGCCTCATTTGGTCCACCTGCATCATGCTAATCATTATCACCTGTGCTTACTATTTATACACTCTTCAATTCTGTTTTTACTTTTTGCTGTATAACCATAACTCATTGCATGTTTCACTAAGTTCCTGATCATGCTCCTGGATTTCGCTCTTACCTTTTTTTAGAAATTTCCTTTAAAACCTTTTGGTCACTGAGCAGGTTTTCTCCATCTTTTTGCATATTAGGACCAACTCCATACCACAACCAAACACTTTTTATAAAGTTACAAACTATGTGGCTTTGTGATTGGGCTCTCCTCAAGTCCTCCAGCTGTTGAATGCTAATTTATTTTGGTATGATGCTTTATAGTCCTATTTTGGCTTTTTCTTTTAATGCTAATCTTTTTTATTCACTTTAGATATGGATGATTCAATATAATTAATAATTTTTTTATTTTATCTATCAGAAAGTCTGTAAATCTTGCCTCTGTGTAAAATAATCTCTAAATAGAAAATTATTTTTAAAAAAATCTTATTTGTGCAACAAGCTTAAGATTATCTATAAACAGCAGTTGTGAATATATATATAAAAGTTGTTTGTATTCACTCAGCAAAACACTATTATTTTATATAAAAAATACAGTATATTCTGTTATTATTTGAATTTTCAGACAGATTTCTTGGTAAACTTGTACATGGGGCGAAAGTGGTGTCAGATGCAGGAAGGTTGTTGATTGCTGGCTCCAGCTTTCACCTGCATTGCCTTCTAATGTTGGTCAGAGGGGCCTCGCCTCTGTCAGTGAGCCCCAGTGCAGCTTGTCACCATCAGTGTGTGTGTGTAAATTGTTGAATGACTGAATTTAGTGTAAAGCACTTTGGTCAAGTCTCCGGATTTGAAAAATAGCTATATAGTACAGGTCACTTACATAAAGGCCCTGTTGATAATAATCAAACCTCTGAGACTTCTTTTTGCATTTTATTCTACTATGACCAAATGCTTCTTCTTTTTATTCTCATGAAATATGACCAACACAAAGTAGGGAAACAGAGGCTGGTAACCATTTAGAAAAAAGGAGATAATACTATATATGATACAGCACAAAGCTACACTTAGGGCTTACCTTGGAGCAAGTAATTGACCCTATGCATACAGCCATTTGAAACCAGATCAAAGAAAGATTTCCAGAGCTGGTAAAGACATTCTAACAAATACTGCAACTAGAGTTGCAGTATTTGGCTCCTCAGGGTATTCAGTACTTAGGTAATGAATATAAATCCAATCTAAAAAGATCCATCGGAAGATACTTTTTAAATATCTGCTTCTTCCCACTTAAAAAACTAAAAATACGTCTTTCAGGTCAAAGTTAAAAACCCTTTGACTGCTGAGGTTAAACTGTCAACTGAGGTATTATTAGTTTAAGGTTGTGGTCCAGCTCCTTTATTTGATTTATTCATGTTTTTTTTATCTTTATATGCTTTTATTCTGCTTTTATTTATCTTCTATTTAGTTATCTAATTCGTGTAAAGCACTTTGGAATGTCCATGCATTGAACTGTGCTATACAAATAAACTTGTGTTGCCTTGCCTTGCCTTACATGTCTGTTGATGTATTATACACAATTTTTTAAAGTTTGTGGCTGAAATGTGACAAAACAGAAAAAAGGCTCAAGGTGTATAAATACAAATTAATGTATATATCATATGCATATGATGGTAAAAAAATTATAAGAGAAAACCACAGGTACACTTTAATACAATCTTTATTAAAAATTGTAACATTATGTCTTTTAATATATTATGTACATCTTTTGCACTATCAAAGCTGAAGATATTCAGAAAAACTGAAATAATAAAAATCAGTACAATCCAAACCTTTATCAGCTGAATTTTCAGCTGAATTGTTTTCTGGTAATTTTCAAGTCTTTAATATTAGGTTGAGGGACCTAAACTTTGAGTTATTCAGTGGAAGAGGTAAATGGAATGCATCTATTTGTTTTGGCACCCCTTTAGTTAAAGCAGTATATTGTCCAGTGTTGCGTCTGCATTTGCTTAGAAAATGCCCCATTGCAATAGACATTGGACAGAAAGATTACTCGAAAAAGGAGAAAAAAAATCAGTCTGATCTTTATTTCATGTTGCTTTCAATCCAGTCTTTAAAGTTGGCCACACGTGTGTAAACTGTGTAGAGTTCAGGATTGCACTCCCCCTGATCATAACCAAAGCTCACTAGTCCAAGCAATCTCCACAAGCCTTTGCTGACCTGGTTCTCAGCATTTGCAGGGAGGACAAGGATCCCTCCAGTGTCAGATGGACATATGTTAGATGGTCCATAGTCAGGTTTTTGGCTGGCACAAAGCATATTGTCTGTAACACTGACTGGTATGCCATTACGTGCATACTGCTGCTCACATGGGACTATATCTGCAAGGTGAACCAGCCCAACCCTTGCCTTCTCGTTGAGGCCCAAACTCATATCCTGCAGAGGAGACCAGCCTGTTACAAGCCCCTGACCAGATGGAACCTCTTCTTCCTGGTTCTCTGACAGGCAGAGCGGCAGGACTTTTTCTCCAATCCTTGCCTTGTCTTGTAACTTTATAACAGCAATATCAGAGTCAAGAATAAAAGGATCATAGTTTGGATGAACAACAATTGAGCTTACCTGAAAGAGAAAGAGATTTGTTACTTTGATACTCCTTATAAAGAATGAAAAAAGAGCATCCAAAAGCTTACCCTGAGTTGTTGAGGACCTTTATTTTCTCTGCGGTCATCGCGATAGTGCTTCCCCATGACCACTTTGATAGTGGTTGTATCCACAGGATACATCTTACCTAACTCTGTCACACAGTGAGCTGCAACCACCACACTCCTTTGGTTAACCAGGGCCCCACTGCAGACCAGCTGCCAGTCGGAGCCATGATCAAGGTAGCTACTTCTTGCTCCTGTATCCTTCTTTAAGTGTTCATCCTGGCTGCTTGCCTTCATCACCTTAGTCCCTGTCCCCTTGTGGGAGCGGCGATAGATGGCTGCCAGCCAGGGCCAGTGAGCCTCTTCCAGCCTCTCTGGGTCAAAGTTTACATGTTTCCCACAGACTGCCAAAAAGAGAGAAAACGAGAGGTGAGCCTTTCATCACAGGAAAAAGAGGCTTAGAAATATTTACTTTTTTTTTATTGTTTTTATCATTTTTACATACACTGAAACTGAACTACAGTAAAAACTGTGGGACCAGCAATGATTTGTTTTGAGAAAAACAAAAAACAAATCTGTGGCAAAGATGGAGATGTTAAATGCCAAGAACTATTCTAATTAAGTAGGTTCTAAGTCTGGCACAGGAAAAAAAATAAAATAAAAAAAAGCTCATTAAATTTAATTTATGTAGTTTTGACTGTTTGTTTAACATATTATAAAAATGTTGGTAAATATTTGTATTATTTATCAAATAAATCTAATAATCAACTAATTGAAATCAGAACCAATTGAAATATTACTTGTTTAATTTCTAATGGCTTAAAAGTAGCATGATACAGTGCAATAGTTTACCCCTTAAACTATTGCATTTAATGTTAAAACCCATTTTAAATACCTTTATGGGGATTTTTTGTCAAATCAACAAAATACTAAGAATAATTATCGCATGGAAAGTATGCAAAGTATTCAACCTACTTTGCATGGTACTCTTCAGTGAAACAGTGTGGGCTGTTGAACAAAACTACTTGTACTCATAATATCATCTTCCAATTCATGTAGCAGCAGTCTCATCAGAGACTCCCATAATTCCTTCTCTACAGATGTCTCCTTCAGCTCTGCTTGGGAAATCCCAATGCACTCCTAAGCCAGCCAAGGAACGGCCTCCTTTGTGTCTTGGATCGTCTCCTGGGCCTCCTCTCATCGGGATATACCTGGAAAAGCTCTCCAGGGGACCATCAAAGAAGACTTCCAAGCCTTAATGTGGAGGAGAAATGGCTCTACTCCAAATGTCTCTCGGATTACCAATTTCCTCACCCTATCTCTAAGGGAGTGGCCAGCCACCCTGCGGAGGAAACTTGTTTCAGCCATTTGCACTGAGGATCTCATTCTGGTCTCGATCTTGAATCAGAATTCATGACTTGGAGGAGCTGAAATTATCAACTGGAGTGGTGACAGAATACAGCCCTGCTAAGTCCAACATGCTCTGCTAATGGGTCCAAGTCAATACCAACTATGTGGACAAAACTTCTGCTCCACTTGTACTGACTTTTACTGACCTGTAAAGGGGTCCTTCTAAAGGGCTCCTCACAGTGCCCTTTACAAGGCGTGATAGGGCTCTATGGGGTACATAGTTTAATCTTTTTTTCAGGTCCACAAAACAGATGTGGACCAGTTGGCCAAACCCCAAGGACCCTGTAAGCACCCTGAAGAGGGTGTAGAGCTGGTCCAGTTTTAGGATAACAACCACCATGCTCCTCCTGAAGCCAATGTTTGACAATCAGCTAGACTCTCCTCTCCAGAACCCTGGCCTTACCAAGGAAGAATTATCTAAGAAGAATTATCTCTATAGTTGGAACACACCCACAGCTGTCAGCCAAGACAGCCAGACAACATCCAGAGACCTAAGGTACCTAGGGCGGATCCCATCCATCCCAGATGCCCTTGTCACTGTAGAATTTTCCGACTTGAGCCGGATTGATTAACAAGTCCAGCCCCATTGCCCTCTCTCCTTTTCCACTGCAGGATGCTGTCTTCAGAGTATTCTTTTACACCATCTGACAATGTTCACATTCAAGGTCAGCAGCGCTCCATTCCCTATAAAAACAGTGTTAGCAAAGCACTGCTTCCTCCTTCAGAGGCGCTGGACCGTTTGCCAAAATCGCTTTAAGGCTGACAGACAGTGTTTCACTCCAGTCTCTACATACTCTGCCTGGGCACTAGTGTTTGCCTCTGTAGCTGCCCTGGCAGTGGGACACCTTACCTCATGATACCTGCATGTCGCCTCAGAAGTTCCACAAGATAACCAGGCTCTATAGGACCCTTACTCCCAGGGTTAGGGGATTGCTGCTGCACCTGGCACTGCAGATTCTACAACAACAGCTATGGGCAGCTTCATTGAAAACAGAAGCAGAAAGCATGGTACGCTTAGATTCTCTGTCCTGAGGGGTGCTGACCCCCTTAAGATGCCAAAAAGGACCAGTACGCTGTACTGCAGTCCAGCTCATAGCCAGAAACAACAGTCAGAGACCTCCCCCCTACCCAAAGGTGCATGGATGTAACTCTCTTGTCCACTGGGGTAAACTCCAACAGAAGCAACAAAAAAAAAAAAAAAAACACCTAGTAAAAATGGATATTAATTCTTACAGAATATAGCTTAGTTTTGTACTTCACAAGCATGGCCATCAGTGCCAAGGAAAAAGTAATTTCTAAGAGAAAATAGCAAGAAGTCTTGTTTAATGTTTGCTATGTCATGTCATGTTAGGGTCAAAGCAAGCAGGTGGCTCAAGGTGTTTAGTTCAGATGAGACCTAAATTAAATGTTCTAATCTGGATTTAGATGATGTTTTACAGGAAAAACTAGCATATGACCATGAATACACCTTCCCGTAATGTAGCGGTAATATCATGCTATGGGATGTTTCTTTCAGCCCCGTCAGGAAGGCTAGTCACAGCTTTTAGGAAAATTGAAGGAGGCAAACACAGGGAATATTTATAAGAAGAAATCCTCCTTGGCATGTTTTAATGTCCAGTGCAAACACACAAAGCTTAATCTAATGGTTTATATCAGTGAAATTGGGTGAATACCAAAGTATAGATCGGACTGGCTAAATAAGGTACACAACCACTTTGGAACTTTTAAATGTAATAAAATCATACATCCATACTTAAACACAGTAATAAATCCAGGAAATCTTTTACAAAGCACTGTGGTTTAAACTTTAAATATTATAACTTTTTTATAATATTATTGATTATTGCCTTTTAAAAATAAACTCCTGTTGCTGTTGTCAAACAGAAGAGAAATGCTTGGCTCTGATAAACAATTGTTTTAATAAAGGTGTTCAGTTAGGTCCTAAGTCCATACTAAAATCACCCAAACCATTTGTATATGTGAAAATAAAGCACTATGTGCCCTTCTTGAGCCTCAGAGTCATTTTTATTTACAGAGTGATCAGTATACGCAAACATTATTGTACCCTATCACCATCTAGTGGCAATACTTAACTCATGCATCCATCAATTCCCCAGCTTCTGAGGCTTTAGCTCCATGCTATAAAGAGCAGCAACATTTATATTGTCTTCCAAGCACTGCTTAAGTCTTATCCCTCTTGATATTAGATATTTTTCACTTTTTTCACATTTGTGCCCTTCTGGGGACTTTACTTTGCAGTAAAAACTTTTTTAATACAAAAAATATGTTTTCAATTTCCTTGTATTAATTTCTTTATCAAGTTTTACAGCTAAGTTTACATCTAAGTTTTATTCTTCTCTATATGTTAGAACAAATTCCATTACAAAATGTTAAATTTAAGTTTTTCACCATTGAGATAATGTAAACCTTTAGCCTTCTAAACTGTTGTAAACAAGATGTTAAAAACTGTCTAGTGTCAGTGAACATCTGATATGTGTCAGTTATGTAATAGTTTCTAGATAAAACGCATCTTTTGAAAACTCAGCTATTAACCCACAGTAAATATATATTTGTTGAGTAATAGGCACTGAAGATAAATTAGTAAACTGACAAAAGAAGGAGATAGAGAAACTTGTTGATTGCCAAATACTCGTTTATCATCGACGTAAGAAAAGGCCATGTGACTGCGCGTTTATAAGCTGTAGAAAAATTGGATTGGATTGATTTATGAACCCTTTCTAAGTGGAATCTATAGTCTTTATGAATTGTAAATAGAGCTCAGGGGTTGTTGTGTTTTTTTTTTTTTGTTGTTGTTGTTTGTTTTAGATGACAATATCTTATTTCTGTCTTTGTCTGGCTCTCCATGGCAGAAAATCCTAAAATATCTGTATCTGTCTAAATGTTAAGTGATATGCTGATTAGATATAAATGATCATAAACTCTTAGTAAAACCACATTTGAGAATCTATACTATCTCTCAATAACCAGATATGGGGTCCAGAAACAATTAGAAGACCTGAAGTATGCGAATCCAAAAATTAGAATGACTCAGTCGAAAAAAAGTGTAAAAAACACAAATTTCTTAAATTTCAATACGATTCTGCTTATTTTAATTTTCTTCTCTGTATCTTTAAATCAATATGCATGTGAAATTATTTAGTTTTTAGTTTGTGAACCTTAATAAATGATCTCCTGACATTTTATGATAGCTGATATACATGTTAAAACAGCTTTAGTAAACCTGGGATCTTTCCTCTATCACATTACAATAAATAATCCTCTGCTGTCCTCACCTGGTGAACATGAGACATGACGTCCGCTCCATTTCCCTGTCTTCAAACATGTCCGCCTAGCACTGCCAAAATGTTGATAGTACTGAGAAGCACACTCATACTCAATGTGAGTGTAAAGATGGTGGAAGCCCTGGGGCAACTGGGGAAGCACTGGGGAACTTTTGGTGGGTGCAGCAAGATAGAGCTGCTGGTTAAGTGCAGAGGAGAGAAGCCTGTGTACTACTGTCTTCCTGTGGGAAAAAAAAAAAATAAAAAATCCTCTTTAAATGCAGAAAAAAATTTCTGTCAGAACTATTAATTAACAATTCAACAAATAATGGTAAAACATGAATAAACGTACCTTGATGGTGCCTTTGGTGGCAGAACTCTTTGTCTCACCAGCTCTGATACTTTAGGCTCTCGACATGCTAATAAAAAAAAAGAATAAGGTACAGATAAAACAAAACAAAAANGCAGAACTCTTTGTCTCACCAGCTCTGATACTTTAGGCTCTCGACATGCTAATAAAAAAAAAAAAAAAAAAAAAAAAAAAAAAAAAAAAAAAAAAAAAAAAAAAAAAAAAAAACAGGTGAAAAAACACAACATTCAGAATACATCCATGACACACAACACAAGAAAAAAGTTCACTGATATGTTTTATTTACATATATAACAGGAATTGTTTTAAAGTGTATCTAAAAGTGTCTAGTAATGACTGGTCTTTACTGTACATCAACATAAGACAGGAGAACTGTTTTGATCTGGGTGTTTAAGTATTATAGCAAAATTGATATTCTCTTTGTAAACATGCTTTGAGTTTTTTCTTACTACTTACATTTATCATGAGAGTAAAACATGAGGATATTTCTTTCTTTAACCCATGACAAGAAGCTCCAAATAATTAGACTGGATGACCTTTTTCAGATATGTTAAAACTATTATCAAGATGTTTAGTGGGAATTTAGCGGAAGATTTAAGACAATCTTTTCTATATCTTTTGGATCAAATAATCTCACATAAAAAATGTGTCTATGAAGGAAAACCCAGAACAACAATTTATCTCCTTCTTTCTTTGAAGTAACACTTCTATCTAAAAAGTAATACCTCTGAAACACAGAGGTTGTTTGCCACTCCAGGTACCATCAGGGTGACAGCTTCGCCTTTTATCACCACTCAGTGCATATGAGTGGTTGCACATGAACTCCACAGTTTCCATATCCAACTCTGGCACCGCCTGGTGGTAGCCATTGTATAGGCGAGGCAGAGGTGGACACTTCTTCTCTACAGAAGTGGAGCACACTGTCAGTGAGTCTGAATAGACATCAGTAAGAAATACAACACAGTATTTTCGTTGTTTTTATTTAAAGAAATATTTTACCTGTGATGCTCAGGTTTTCTTCTGTTTCCTTTTCGTTCCTCTTTGCTTCCACTTGCTTCGTTTTTTCAAAGGTTCGAGTTTCGTCCTCAGATTTCTCCTTTGTTTTCCCATTTTCCCCTCCTGCTCTGTACAAAGTGAACTGTGTCACATTAACTCTAGAGGGGTTCATTTTCTTTACCGTTGTTGGAGTCCCAATGGTGCTGGTTTCTTTTTTTGCATCCTTTGAATCCGTGGTACTTGTGCTGATCTTTATTGTTTGCAGCTCAAATATTTCCAACGTACTCTCACCCTCAGATACATTTGTCTTCAGTTTTGTGTCATTTGGGCCAAATTTATCTGGATCTTTCTTTCCATTAACTTGTTCCTCTTTCCGTTCCTTATCTTTCTGCCCTTTGATTTTTTTATCCCTTATTTCCGTTGTGTTTGTCTTTCTTTTCTCTGGTTCAGGGTCTGGAGTGTCTTCTTTTTTCTGAGGTGGTTGTGATGCCTCTGGTTCTTCTTCCTCAACTTTGTTAAGGCTGCCATCACCGCTTTTAGTGTCCACTTCTTTTTTTCTGTCTTCATTTGTCTTTTCTAAACCTGTATTTGTTTCCTCTATATCTCCTTCATCCTTATCCTTTTCCAAAGTATTTTCTGGAATTGTTCCAGTGAACTTATCTTCTTTGTCAACCAATGTTGTGTTCTTTCCAACAGAGTGTATATCTTCCCCGCCAGTATGTTTGTTTTCTGTTGTATTTTGTTGAGGTATCTCTTTGGTTTTGCTGGTGTCTTTGTTAGTCTCTTTATCTGGTCCTTTGCCAAGTTCTGTCTTTTGCACTTTATCCTTTTCAGATAACGTGTTATTCACTGAGGATGAAAGAAGAGGAATATATAGTGAGTGAGAAACTTGGAACAGTTTTGATGCCCATCACATTTGTCCAAATGATTTCACATTTCCTTGTATTTTAGGGATTAGGCCACCAAAAAAGTTTTTTTAGAGATATTAATAATAATAAAAAAAAACATCATAAAGAAAAAAGCTGTGAAGACATGTATGCATAGAACAATAAAGGATTGAACATCCGAGGAGGGACTGTTAAACTATATATATGTAAAAAGAAAAAAAAAATTAAGAGTATGACAGAACTCCTGGCCATTTACTACAGACCTGTTTAGGAGAATATTTAACAATAACCAGCCTAAGGGTTTCAGCTCTCTTGGATCATGACGGGACAATTTGTTGATAAGTCAGCTATTAGTTGTTAGCCCTTCAAATCTGACTGGCCTGTATAACAGTGTTTCCCAACCTTTTTCTGCTTTTGTACCCCTTTGGGCGTTTTTTTTCTTCCCATGAGTTTCCCCTCAGTCAAAAGTATTGTCCAAAAGGAAAACATTAAATAACTGGTTATAAAATAAAAACCTTTTTACTTTTCAGGATTAAAGTTTAGGCATTGTATTCTTTCTATCTCTGCCTGTAAGTAAGGAATCGAAATAAATAGCAAATAAAATCATGTTATAAGCCTGTCGCTATAAAGCTGGAACTCATGAGTAACTCCCTTACAATGACATTTAAGGTTGAGGAATTGGGAACAAAATACAAAACAAAAATTAGCGTCAAACTGAGTTAATTAGTGTTATTTTGTTTTCCATTAAGACACCTGAGCTTATTTTGATGAGCTCCGGTAGCTCAGTCTGAAAAACAGCTGATCCCAGGCTGTTCTCTACATCCATTCTGTCTCTCTGCTTGGTTTTGATGCGTCACAGCTGAAGGTGAACTCAAATAAATAAGAAAAACTTACTTTTTGGTTGAAAAAAGGTTGTTGTTTTTTTTAATTGTGTTCTCAAAGAGCAAAACAGATCCCAGCAATGTTTTATTTCACTACTTAAGAAATTAAATATTTTCATGTACCCCTTGCAATGCACTCGTGGAACACTAGGAATACAATTTCCCCCGGTTATCACTGCTGTACGGGACTCAGTAAATATGGGAAATAAGTACTCTGATTTAGTAAAAATAAAATTTATCTTTTAAACTAGATATAAAATGTTATTTGTGAAGAATGTTGACCTTACCTAACTACCATCACTATTTAAAAAATTAAGATTAAAACATAATGATATAGGGATTCATCTTGTTTTAAAGGGAAAGAGAAGCTGGTGTTTCGGGGATGACACTGACATTTGATTAGGGTGGATGTATTACTAGGGGACATACGACCAGAAATATAAAGCTGGTCAAATCGTTAAGAATATATGGCAACCCTAAGAAGAATTTTCACATTATCTGTATGACTGAGTGTCAAGATGAGAAAAACTAGTAGGACAAACACCACCGCTACAAAAGGTGCACAAATAATTTTTTCTCATGTAATTGAATCCAAACGCACACTTTAAGCATTTACTTTTTTATAATGAAAACTTAAAAGAAAGTTAACTGACCATTTTCTAATGCAAAATATGATTATTTTCCCGTTGAGTGAAAAAATGTCTGACCTTTAGAGCAAACAGGAGGAGTCCCAATCCAGGTGTTGTTAGGGAGACAGGTTCTCTGAGAGATTCCAATGAGTTCATAGGGCTGGTTGCATATATACTGAAGAGCAATAAGGACATCATTGGGTCCATAAACCAACAAGTGGTCACCATTTACTGGCTTGGGTGGTAAAGTACAAACTCTTTCCACTGGCACTGCAGGCAGGGAGAGAAAATCAAGCTTTTTTCCATGATCTAAATCCTCCCCCAGGCTGTGTAAAAATCTTACAAAAACAGTGACGAACCAAATGTAAAAATGTTACTGTTTGGATAAAAACAAACCCCTTATTTCATCTTACCACATTCAGGTGCCGGTGCACTCCAGGTGCCATCGCTAAGGCAGATAGCAGTACGAAACCCTCGCAGTTTAAACCCCACATCACACCGATAAGTGATACGGGCACCAGAGTGAAGAAACAGCCCCTCCGTGGAGCCATGTTTGGGCACTGGAGGCCTGCGGCATCCCACCACTGAGTGGAAATAAAGGCACACACAGTTTATTGATGAACACATACTGCTTTCATTTCCTTTTATTTTAAACATGTGGATTTTCACAATGAGTACATATGGAAGGCATATTGTATGGAACGTCTATATTGTAACTGCTTGTTCTAAAGGATAACAAAACACAACATCAGTGCCATAATATCCTTCTGGTTCTAACCAACAGGGAGTAGACTGACTAAAGTTCGACATAGCACATTTGTTTTTCATTTAGAGAGAGGTTTTAAAGGTTACCCTGTTACTACAGAGAGCATTTACAATTAATTTACCCCTTCATGTGGAAGTGTGAACAGTTAACAGCAAGATTTTCACACATGGCCTTTAAATGTGTAATAAAACTGCTGTAGTCAAACTGTTCAACTTTCCACTGCTGTTAAAGAACATTTTTGAACTGAACTAGGTCTAGTTACAGTAGCAGCTATTCAAAAGGATCTTTCGCAGTTAAACACCAGCCAAATGGGGGCCTACTTCCCTCCAACTCCCAGCAAAATCCCCTTCAACTTCCAGCCACTGGAGTGACACCCTCTTGCGTATTTTTTAATTCTGACTCCACCCTTTCGCTGAATTACAGGGTCTGACTGGGAGATGATGCTTCTCCTTAGATCTGAACGTCCACAAATCATGACAGAAAGAACATTTTAGTATGAAGATTGATGTTTAAAAAGGAACTGTAGGGGACCAGCCAAGGACTAGCCGATCAAGGAAAGTGGGGAAATTTTTAATGGCTACTACTGCATGTGCTTGTGGATCAGGCTGCAGAACTCAATCGTTTCAGTTTGGTAGTAACATGCAGTGGCTTGGATGCCATTTATAAGTTTATACACAAAAATAAAAGGCATACAGGCTCTTATAATCAGAGAGCTTAGATCTGTTTTTTTTTTTTTTTTAAAGAAAAAATAAAGTAGCAAAACGAAAACTATTGTTGAAAGAGCGCCAATCTCTATTTCCAAGTTTAATCAGATAAAAAAAGAGTAGATTTTTTGACTGCATGCAATTTGGGTGTTGAAACAACCACTGCACGCTACAGTAAAACCAACCCTGGCAGAACACATGGTGGCAGCAACATCATGCATTGGGATTTTTCCACAGAGACGGGAAACCAGAGAGTTGACAGGAAGAGATAAATGCAAGTCAATTCTAGTGAGCTTTCTAAAACCTTGTAGATGTACTTAAAAGCAAACAAACAAAGCTTCCATTTGTAAAAGCAATCAACAAGTAATAAAAACTTGAATTGTTTCTTTTCTTTCCCAAACTATTCATAATTTAAAATCCCATTGAAATATGTGGAATATTACAGTTGTAACATCCCTGAATTTGAATGATTTTTAGCGGCTATGATACTTTTGTCATGATTTAGAAGCGTTTAAATTTTTGCACAACCGACTGTTTTAATTATATTTATCTCTTAGTTAATTCTTAGCTAATTCTGCTTTTTTAATTTTTTTCCCGTTGGATTTCTCCATGTTTGTCCCTTTTTGCTCAGATGTATTTACATCTCATTCACACAAACACCTTCATTCATGCAGCTTCCTATATAAGCCAGTCTTATCAATGCAGTAGTACTACTAGCAGCCCCCTCTTGTCCCTCAAAACATAGATTGAGTCTTTATCTGATGGTGGATGGGGTAAACCGGTTAATATCCAGATGGACAAAAAGGATTAACCAGATTGGGTATATGTCAAATTAAGAGGAGAGGCAACCTGGATGCCTGAACTGCTCCTTCCACAGTCAATGCAAGTAGGACCCGTCCTTCCATCAACTTAGCTGCAGTTCTTCTCTTATTTTCTGGCGTCTATATTTGACACTGCTCATGTTTCCATGTTCTCTTATTATTGCTAACTTTACCTCCCTTTACATTGCCTGGTTCACTGTCCTTAAGTGTTTTCATTTTATTATTATTATTATTAGGAAGGTTTTCAGATTGTTTTCCTTTTTCAGAAACCTCTTTCCTTAACCTCACAATGATACTTTGCTAAAATGTTCTGATGTTTGAAGCCATTTGTCATAAAAGATAACCTATTTGAACCCTGTGCAGACGATGCTGAGCCTGCCTGAGAAGCTGTTCTTGGCTGAATGTTAATGTTTTTTCCTTACTTGTCTATATTAGGCTTTGTCCACATTCATATGAAACAATCTGGAGTAATTAGGGCACAATGCATGCTGCTCATAATGACACGTAATATGAGTCGTGACCCATAATTTCTGTATTTTATTTGGAAATTATGTGTAAAATAATTAAATAAAATAGCAAAAGAAAGTAAGATTTATATGAAGTTTATAATAAGTGTTACCAATAAAACAATATACGCTCGTTTATATAAGACATGGAAGCTGATCATTACAAACATAAAATATTGACACTGAGATTATATCTAAAATGTGTTATCTGACTTTGAGGTAGTAAATGTGGACTACATGTACTTTAAAACATGAAAGACATTTGTTGTTTAATAAATCTAAAGATAACTTGATTTCTCAGGAGAATACAGATGGATGTGTACTGTGTGAAATAAGATTTGACTTAAAGATTCAAATCTTCATACATGCCTCTACAAACTTTGTATATTTAGTAAATTAAAAATAAAACCATCTTTCACTGGATGGATAGTGCCTGTTAAATATGTAATTTATATCTTCTATATAAATTACTATTTACCCACATGGTTTATCCATATATTGTACTGTATTTGTCATAACTAGAAATGCACCCTCTGCTCCTCTAGGTTTTTGCTATGTGTTTTTTATTTTATCTAATAGGTTTTCTTCCAGGATTATCCTGCATATTTCAATCAACTCTAACCAGCTTTCCTGCAACAGATAACATGAAGCTTCTACACGTTTAACTATATGGACTATGAGCTCAAGGAAACAAATATAGTAAGTTTTCTGCTACTGAATGCTTTTTGCATCCAGGCCAAATAGTTTAATTTTGGTGTCCTGTAACCAATATTCTTTTTTTCTGCAACAAGTGTTAACCTCCTGACTACTAGGAAACTCCAAAATTATGTTTTATGGATTTCTTTCAGCTGTCATAAACAGTTTCCAAGTTAAAGATTTGACTACCTGTGTTATAAATCTCTAGAGTTCCTCCACTGCTACCAAATACCAAAGGAGTTTTGGCTGGTATTTGTTTCCCTCTGGCTGCACTCACAGTTTTGGTGGAAAGTCATTTGTTGCCTGGTTATTCAGTAGCTAGTTTTTACAATTGTTAGGATAATTATCATTGAAGATGTGTGAGTTTATTACACCTTGGTATTGGCTGCCTGTTGACTGCGTGTCAGAACTGATGTTTTTCACAATAGTTTATCTGGTTAAGACGGTGCCTCTGTCCTGATATACAGTTATAATCTTAATTCTGTACGGGGCAAATATTTGAGAATGGAATGAGAGCGGTGTCCTTCAACTGAGACCAAATTGTAATATTTTGATAAGGCTGGAGCCATG